AGTACTAGAAGATGTCCCGGTGCGCGGGTTTTCTTTCTATTTATGTTTTTTTTTTTTTTTTTTTTTTTTTTTTTTTGAAGGGAGCTGCAGTTTTATTATATAAATTCGATGAGGCCAGAAATTCCTCGACATCTCAACCCGGACAGTGCTGGGGCCATTACCAAGGGTAGGCTTGAGCTGGAAACCGGGTCCAGCGTCTCATTGCCTCCAACTTCCCAAAAAGCTGAAATGAAAACGACTGCCTGCTGTATTCCATCTGCTGGCCACAGGTCCAGCACAAAGGCCGGTACTGGTACCACTCTCTTGCGGTACCGGTACCATCTTTTTTCCATGTGCTGGTACCGGTTGCTTTCAGGCTTGACAAAATAGCAGATCTAGGCTCGTGCGTTCAGCGTTGGGTGTACTGGTGGTTTAAACCACCAGTACCTGAGCAAGTTGAGGCACGTATACAGCCGCAACTTGCGGGATGAACGGGCCTGGGGTGCTAGCACAAATTCAGTTAAGTGGAAACGGCGCCGTTTTTTTATTTGGCTGGCTGCGGCGCGACTTGCAGGGGTATTGGTCGTTTAATCTGCTGCCCTTTGTTTCTGTTTCTGTGTCAGACCTATGCTGATTGTCTTCCCAGGTTCTGTTTAATTAACTTCTATACGCCCTGATGCGGTTTGTCTTTTTCCATATCCCCCAGACGGCCAGATCTCCCATCCACTTCCCCCCCTCTGATTCGCGTCTCCCCTCTGATTCGCGTCTTGCTGGTGCCCCTGAATCCTTCTCTTGTGTCGAGACCTTTTCCTTCGAACATGTCTTAAACCTCTAGTAGATGCCACATATTGGCGGCGGGCACATTTCGGAAGCCAAAATGGGACGCTGGCTGCCGATTTGTTTTATCGACGGCGCGCAGGCACCGTCTTTTTCGGAGTAGGTAATGAACAATTCTCCACCAGGCTGAGGCTTTTTTTGTTTTTTTTTAACAAACAACACCCACTAGCGGTTTAAAGTCTGCAGATCGGGAGCAGCCCCCGCATGTTCTCTCGTGAATACGGTTCTGGCTGCTGTGGGGTTCCCCGTATGCCTACAATTAGGAGTAGTGGTAGGTAGGTAGTGTGAGGTGAAATTGAGAGAAGAACATAGCTTTAAAAGAAAATAAAAAAAATGTCTGTTCTCATACCCTGTTTGTCTGCGTTTAGTCATAGACCTATATTGCTTCTATTGATAGGCTGAACTTCCGCTGAAACAGTCTGCTATGCTTCTTATACTCTCCTCTGAGCCTCCTCTACTTCCTCTACTCACCATTGGCTTTCAACGTTCAAGTCCATCGTGCATGCTCTATCTTTGCTAATTTCCCGTTATTCAATAATAATAATAAAATAAAGTAAAATGTGTGAATTGTGAATGTGTATATGTTTCGTTGTCTGTCCCACTTCTGTTGGGCTTCAGGTGATGGCACACCCACAGATACCGCCCGAAAAATTGATGCCCAACCCTAAGTAAAGGTCATGGCAGGTAGCGATGCGCCTCGCTCAATTGGTACACCAAGGAACTGTTGAAGTACCGACCTCAGTTCGAATCCCAATCAACTCAGATGAGGAAACAGCTATGAATTTACCTGGGGCTGGTCGGTTTGAAGACGACATCCCAAGGCCGCCATCGCCCTTTTTAGAGAAAAAAACAACAGAAAAGGGTCATTGCAGGCGGCAGGCTGGCCGTATGTGGTAAGAACGCACCTTGCACATCTTGGCCGAGTCCCGGTCTCAGACGCAGGAACTAACTCTGAGACTGAGACTGAGCCCAGCCCCTGTATCTAAGCAGTAGGCCCAGCCTCAGCCTCAGCCTCGGCCTCAGCCTCAGCCTCAGAGTTAGTTCCTGCGTCTGGGACCGGGACTCGGTCCAGTAAGCAGTAGGGATTGTCAGCCGGGACGCACACTTGGCCTCCAGATAGGACCAAAGGAGGAGGCTAAGTAGAGCTGCGCATCTGTTCCCTGGCTGCTAGCAGCAACTCTGCATAAGTGCATTGCGGGACTCGGTCCATAGCCGGCAGCGCTGAGTAGGAAGAAGGGGTGGTGCTGGGTTGGGGAGATGGGCAAGAAGGGACAGCAATGGGGACTGGCTTCGGCATCATCTGGCAAGAGGGTTGTGGACAGACAGTGAGGAAGAGTCGTCGTGTAGGTAGAATGGCAGAGTCGTATAGGCGGACTCATCGTAGCAGGGCTACTACATTGTTGAGAGAGCAGCTGCTGACAAGTGCCTGGCCAGCAACTGCCATAGCCAGCGGTGCTGGGTTGGGGAGATCAGCAAGAAGGGACAGCATTGGGGACTGACAGTACTTACCTAGTGGTGGCTGAGGAGCACTCAAGTCGTCAGACGCTTCAGCGCAGAGTAGTATAGGCGGACTCATCGTAGCAGGGCTACTTCATTGTTGGGAGAGCAGCTGATGACAACTGCCTGGCCAGCACCTGCCATAGCCAGCGGTGCTGGGTTGGGGAGATCAGCAAGAAGGCACAGCAGTGGGGACTGACAGTACTTGCCTAGTGGCGGCTGAGTAGCACTCAAGTGGTCAGACGCTTCAGCGTCATGTGGTGAGAGGGTTGTGGACAGAGTGTGAGGAAAAGTAGTGTGTAGGTAGAGTGGGAGAGTAATTAGGCGGACTCAACATAGCAGGGCTACTGCATTGTCGTTGTATTGATTCACGGAGGCAGGAAGAGGGGCTTTCTTTGTCAATAGACCTAAGCGTTCAGTGTGTTTGCATCGGTGTGCTCTCGTTCTTTGTAATTCTGCATTCCAGTTGGCTCAGTTATGCTTTTTCTGCTACGAGAATTTTGCATCGTGAAAGTTTTGCCTGTTTGTTTTTTCTGGCCTCCTTTTTTTTTCGTTTTTTTAAAAAAAGGGCAAGTCTACTGTGCCCTTTTTTTTTTTTTTTTTTTTTTAAAGCTATGTTCTGCTCTCAATTTCACCTCACACTACCTACCTACGACTACTCCTAATTGTAGGCATACGGGGAACCCCGTAGCAGCCAGAACCGTGTTCACGTAATAGCTCTGTTTCCATTACGTGTTTGTTTTTTTCCCTCCTGGATCAAGATCTCATAAAATAAAATTCTTAGAATGTTTCTCAGCCAGAAGTTCATACCAATGATGAATTTTATACAATATATATTTTCCGGAAATTTGGAAGGATATTGTTTTATGCATTCCGAACCCACTCCCTATGGTGAGTCATGGGATCCACCCTACCCTGCACTAGCTTGTTCATCCGAATAGAACGCCTGGTCATTATAGCCGTATTTCAAGTATTTGGTGAAACTTTCAGGCTATATATATTATACAGCTATAATGACCGGGTGTTATATTCGGGTGAACATGGTAGGGTGCGTACTACCCACATACTACTCTGGACTACTGGGCATCAACAGGGCAATCGATGCTGGCAGGCGCTTGCTGTGAAGGGACGCTGGACCCGTTTTCAAGCAGGTGCCGCTCCCCAGCAATAGACTGGAGCATCGAGAATTCTCGGCGGAAAAAAAAAAAAAAAAGGGTTCTAGAACTTCTCGTATGGGGTGGATATGTGGCTTCCAGCTTCCTGCCATATTTAATTCCTATCTGAACTGGTCTGGTGTTCACCAGTACCTGGTTTCATGGTCCCTAATGTCTTTTGATCCTGAGCAATCCATGTTTGGAACAAGTGGCGCAAGGGCAGCTTATTGCAGGGCAACAACCGGCCACGACCATCCTCCCTTAGACCCTGTTTGCTGAAAAGTGGTCGCCTCAAGATCTCCTCCCACCTCTTCGGACAACTCGTTCGGGGAAAGAGGAGTTTTCTTAGGGCGCTTGTAGGAAAGATCCCTTGCTCATGGGGGAAGAATCACAGACAATGGAGGTGGGGAAAGGAGACCAATGTGGAGAAGAAGAGGAAGAGAAAGAAGGGGAAGAAGAAGAAGAAGAAGATTCTGAAGAAGATCAAGAAGAAGATTCTGAAGAAGAAGACATCAGCGGGCTTAGCTCAGTTTTTTTTTTGTTTTTTGGGAAATAGTTTAGTTGTTACACCCCTGGACTGTGGAAGTACCAACCCAGGTTCGGATCCCAATATAATCCGAGAAGAATAAATCTGAGTTACATTGGGCCGCCCGGTTCAAATATGATGTATCAAGGCCATTGCCGTTTCATTGAAAAAAGAAGAACATTAAGACGAAGACGAAGACGACGACGACGACGAAGAAGAAGAAGAAGAAGAAGAAGAGGAAGAGGAGGAAGAAGAAGAAGAAGAAGAAGAAGAAGAAGAAAAAGAGGAGGAAAAAGAAAAGAGTCGAACTCAATGTATCAGTCGAATAATAATAGCCTTTCTGCGAATCGCACAGTCGTCACTAATCACGTGTCGAGTCCAAACCTGGGGGCAAATTGCAAATTGGTCCCCAAAATGGTAGCCGAGTCGGAACCTTTTCATTTTGTGATTTTTATCAGGCACTTGGACTCTTCGAGACATGTAAGACTAGATGCGCTTCCTAGCCTCAGCGGTGTTGACTATGACTACCCATGTTCATCCGAATAGAACGTACGGTCATAATTGCTGTATCTAGACCCAAACTCTCCGCAAATTACAGCTATAATTACCCTATCTTGTATTTTGGGTGAAGGCAGACGACAGTCCATAAGATTAATTTCCCCCCGTGGGAATAGCTTGTTTCTGACTGGAGCAATCTTCTGTTGCAGAGTATGTTCTGTGTGAGGTAATGGAGCGTGGACCGGAGGAGGCAACGAGGAGATGCGAAGGGCGACGATGGTGATTGATTGAGTGAGATGCCCGTCGTCAGTATAAAAGGAAAAGGGGAGCGAGAAGGGGAGGGCGAAATGGCGGCCTCCGGAATGGATGATCCTCCCTCGCGTTGTTTTTCTAGGTAAGCGGAGAAGATGCGTTGCCTGATTCTTCGAGATTTCCTGTCTTCACTCTTCTTCTTAGGAGGAGAAGTGCGGGCATTTACTGAAGACCATTGCGGGGATTGGCGTTAGTGTTGTCGCCGTGTTCATCCAGTTCATAAAAATCGCCTGGAAGAAGAATGGTTGTGACTAGGAGACCGTGCAGGGTGTGGGACTTGGGCAGCGGGGATGTCCCTCACCGATGGGGCTCGGCGAGAGTTTGCAAAGCGGCGGCTAGTTATTGTGATACCGAAGCGGTCGATGCCCGACTGCGAAGAAGGTGGGACCAGAATGGTGCTGTGGGACAAAGGTGGGACCGTAGCGGTGCTGTGGGACATGGTTCCGTTGTCATAAGCCATTCACCACGTTGGCAATCCGTGATCGGATGGGGTGTCCTCCTAAGCATCGTGTCCAGCGTATTGCATGTGGTATTTGCCGGAAACTCTAGTTCCCACGTACCCCACGTTGGGCCAGCAATCAAGGGGTTCGTGATCGAACAGGTGGCGCTCGAGAAAGTGACGGTTGAGGTGGCGATGGTCGGAAGTCCAGCAGGAAGCAGTAGGGCTTCCTCCTTCGTCTCTTTGTCGACTTCTCCTCAACTACCGTCATCATCGTCATCGTCGTCTTCGTGTTCGTCTTCTTCTTCTTCTTCAAGTATCTCGTTTGCCGCAACAGCGTTGCAACCTTCGGCGTCATCGTCAACGCCTTGTTCTCCGCCGTCTCCGTCTCCCCATACCATACAAGAAGAATCGTCCACGCTAACGTCCGCGTGCATTGCAGACGGCGAGAAGGAAGACAGAGCTCCGTGCAAGGTGCTTTGCTTCGCACCTACTCCCGTCTGTGGGGAGGACGGCATCACGTATTGGTGCGGGCCGAAGGAAGCTGAATGCGCCGGAGTGAAGGTTGTGCATGAAAATGTGTGCGCACTGGGGAATGGACTAGGGACAGGGTCAGCATTTAAAGCAGCACAGTCGTTATTAATTCAGTCACTTTTGATCGTTCACTTTGTCTGGCTGGTGATTGTCGGGTTATTGGTTCTGGCCGGGCGGACCTGACAATTTGAGTCCGGGTGCGGATTGCAGTGAGCGCTCTTGGTGCGTAGTCTTTTGTTTCTTTACTTGGTTTGCAATTCATTCTTATTGCGGTCTCTCTCTTTCTTTTCGAGTTTTTATGTGATTATTATTCTTTTTCAGGTGGTTTGAGTAGTCAAAACTGTCGCCAGCAAATCATTCACAGGGGTTTGGGTGCGAGTTCGAGTTCTTCAGGTGCGAGTTCGAGTTCTTCAGGAGGAGCCGTCGCAAACAGAATAGGATGGATCAGCTGCCTACTCAATAAATGAATGAGAGGGCCAAAGAATTGTGCCGTGCTTTGCTTTGCTGGGCTTTGCTGCACAGGGCTTTGCTGCACAGGGCTCTTTCGCGAAGTTGGAAGGAGGATTGGTGGGCTGGGTGGCTCGCAACACATTCTCCGCGAGTTGCCGTTTGTAGGGAAAGTCTCCGGACACGTTTTAAAGTCGAGACCGTAATTTGGTCTGAACTGTGCGCGCTTCGGGGCGCGATTATATCCTTTTATTTGCACCATTTAAAGTTTAAACTCTTTTCTTCACTCGTCAGGGCTGGCATTTGCCCTTTTGGAAAGTTTGATTCCTTTTTCTGGAAAGTTGAATTCCAATATAAGAAAGGGCAATCTATCCCTTATTAAAAAAAAAAAAAAAAGCCACATTCATTTTATGGTGGAATTCTGTGGGAATCAGCCCCAACATCCCTTTGCAGTGTGGGGACTTGGTAACCTTTTTTTTTTTTTTTTTTTTTTTAATTGCCCAATTTGGTGGTTTAACAGTGCAAAGGGACGCTTTCGTGAGGGCGCTTTGGGTGTTCTTTGGGTTTTTCCAGGCCCAATCTCTGGGGTCCAACTGACAGCACGTAAGCTCGCATGTCCAGGACAGAAGGGTCTGTATTACTCTGTAGCAGTCATCATATTCTAGAACACACACTGGCTGTGACGGGCTCACTGGTGGGACAGGGAGGGGGGGGTGGGGTATCTTAGGTAGGGCCAATAAGTAGGGCCAATAAGTAGCGCCGTAAGTAGCCGATCAGATTAGTCCGAAAGGGAAACTGGGTGCTAGGGGGGGGGGG